TTAATACAGTTCCTTATCTTGTGGTGACCTCCCAACATAAAATTATTTTTGTTTCTACTTCATCACTGTAATTTTGCTTCTGTTATGAATCGGGGGAGCCCTGTGAAAGTGTTGTTCGACCCCCAAAGGGGTCGCGACCCTTAACTGCTGCTTTTGTGGGCATCGGAGAACACACTCAACCCACAACAGCAGAGTGGCTTCAATGGTGGACTCCAATGTGCTGGCGATGGTGGCGATGACGCCGGACAGGAGACCATTTCGTTCTGTTGAACGTAAGGTTGCCGTGAGTCGGGTGAGGCCAACAGTCACTGACAAGAGCTACAACTTTGCTGGGTTGTTGAAGCAGTACACACACACACACCTTAAGGAGCCAAGCCCCAGCAAACGTATCTCAGGAAGTTTTTTTTCTGCCTTAGGGAGTCCTTAGAAGCCCTTCGACTTTTTTTGTTTTGGGCAAAGTTTCTGTTTCATTGTCTGAATAATTCACCGAGCCCAGAATTGATCTCTCTTCCAGTGGGCCTGATCTTGCATGTAAATGAAGAATTCTTAATATGTCTCTCCTCTGGCCATAGGGAAATTAACAGATGCCAGCCGGCTTCATTGAAAGCATGGCATTTTAATTGGTGGAAAGCAGTGGGCTTTCCACCCAAAGTGGGTGATACTGTCCCCTGGGGAGGGGTGCGTCTCTAGAATGATTCAGGGGCCAGGGGGCTGCAAAAGCAGATGCCTACACTTTATCCTGGATTGTGGACCGTGATACAGACATTTTTAATTGCCAAGGGGGCGCTGAGTAATTCTCTTTCTAGAAAGGGGGCAGGGGGCTCAAATCAGTTTGAGGGCCTACGGTTTACACTGCAGAGGAACATTTCCTTTCTTTTAGGGCGTGGCGAACATCCTGACTGTTTTTAGTGTCACCGCTGCGACTTTATCCGTAGTGATGGCTAGGGATTGACGTGTGTCGTCCCCCGACCTCCCATGGATACCTTAATATGAAGTCCTCACAGCTGGTGCCGGTGACCTTCTGTGGAAATAGAGTCTTGGGAGATGCCGTGAGCTTGAGGTCCTAGTTGGATTAGGCGGGCCCTCATTTCATGGGAGCGCTGTCCTTGTGAACGAGGAGGAGACGCACAGAGGGCAAGGGGCCCTTCCAGGGCAAGGTGAAGGTGGAATTGGAGTGATGGCCCTGGAAGTCAAGCGTCTCCACGTCCCAGGATCCCAGGCCATCATTGTGGGCCTTCCTTATTCAACGTCCAACGTTCACCTCCACAGGAGGTGATTGAAAACACCATGGCTTGTGTCATGTGCACCTCAGTCCCCAGAGTGACATCCCTGCTTGTCCACACTCTCAGGAAGTCCAGTGCAGCAGGCTGACCCAACGCAATGCATCCTTGAGCTCTGGTGCTGCTTCCACCAGCATGGATTGTGGATCCGAGCAGGATGAAATCCTGGACGACGGTCAGTGCTTCTCCAGTTGTCAGGATGTGACCCGTTGGCCCAGTGGTGAGGAGGTTGGTCTTCTTCACGTTGGGTTGTCATTTGTCCTGAGCGGATTCCGACTCCTTGCAACCGTCTGTCGGGCTTCTGAGACTGTGAATGTGAACAGGAGCAGACAGCCTCCTCTTTCTCCCCAGGGGCAGCTGGAAGGTTGGAACTGCTGTCCTTTCAGTTAGCACTCCGATGCCTCCCTGACAGGACCATAAAGCTTGTAGCCCCAGTTTGACTCTATGGCATGGGGTAACTTCAAAAACCGGACCCCAACCCCCCTGCCATCGAGTTGATTCTGACTCGCAGCCACCCTGCAGGACAGGGGCGAATGACCCCTGTGGGCTCATAGAGACGGCCACTATTGCTGGGAGCAGAAAGCCTCGTCTTCCTCTTGAAGAGTGGGTGGTGGTTTCGAACCGCCGACCTCGTGACTAGCAGCTCCATGTGTAACCATTGGCGTGGTTCCCACTCATGGCGACCTTACGCATAACAGAAGGGCACACTGCCTGGTCCTGCCATTCTGCTTAACCAGGCATGATGTCCTTCTCCAGGGATTGGTGTCCTCTTCTTTTTTAATCGTTTTATTAGGGGCTCATATAACTCTTATCACAATCCATACATACATCAATTGTGTAAAGCACATTTGTACATCCGTTACCCTCATCATTCTCAAAACATTTGCTCTCTACTTAAGCCCCTGCCATCAGCTCCTCATTTTTCACCCTCCCTCCCCGCTCCCCATTCCCTCATGAACCCTTGATAATTTATAAATTATTATTTTGTCATGTCTTACACTGTCCAAC